ATTTTCAATGGCCTTATCGATGCTGAAAACAAAAAGAAAATTGCAGTCGTGTTTTCAAAATATTTCGTGAAAGGATATTTCATTGAATGGAACACCCTATATTTCATCATGCATTTCGATTCATAATATTCTCAACAACAGAGCTCATATCACCTTTCTTCCTATGTGGACATATTCATTTATTTCACTAGTACAAAAAATGTCTTTGTTTTGGCAAATAAAACCTCACGATTGTCCAAACACTCAATTTTCGTACTTATACAAATGACAATATTTTGTTACTAACAGAAAAAAAAAATTGCGCTGCTATTGCAACTCGTGAAACCCGTGATCATCATGTACTACTCACTCGACACTACTGAGCTGTTTTGGTTGGTTTCCGGGTTTTGCCGTCGTCTTCTCTGAATATAATCCCTAAACGTTTTGACTGCAACTGAGGCATCCATCTTCAGTGGCGTGGTCGAAGTACTCTTCTTAACGTGTTAACTGAAACTGACACGCCAAGAAGAATACACTGAAGATGACTGCTGCAGTTGCAGGGGATTATAATCAAAGAAGACCAAGGCAAAACCCGGAAACCAACCAAAACATTTACGCCAGCCGTGAAAGCCTACATTCATATACCACTGAGCTATTTGGTATTAATTTAAAGCCATTCCAGTAGTCAAATTTATTTTTTGAATCAAAATATGTCTGCTATGATAACATTGAAGCCGTTTTTGTACAGAACAGAAAATATTAGAGCGTCATATCAATGCGGTTGGAAAAAAAATGGGAAAAATGATTTCGAAAAGATTGCTCCAAATGCAGAAAAATAAGTGTGGTTACAGTGTTGTACAGAACAGAAAATATTAGAGCGTCATATCAATGCGGTTGGAAAAAAAATGTGTTTGATTCGATAAAACAGAATTATTAAGAATAATCAAGTTGCCTTGAAACTTTAGTGAAATACTATTTGTCAAATATTCATGACAATGTCATAAATTATCGTAACTGTCAGCTACTGTTCGAATATTATTCGAAATGCCAACTAAAATGTGATATGTAAGAATCCTACACCACAGCAATGCGTTCTTCGATCGTGATTTACCTAATCGGCGCGGCGTTTTTTTGCTGTACATCATGGTGGATTCAGGAACAATAAAAAAGTTTTTGAGGAGAGGAGAACTGAAAAACGTTTTGTAATATTTGAAGATACAGTAATTGATATTTAAGCCTACTTTAAGATAAATTCAAATAATTCCATCAGAGATTTATCTAGAGAAATAGCTGTTCCACCGTCTGTTATTCAACGAATTCTGAAGAAACATAAGATTTCTCGTTATAAGTTAAGACCGGTGCAAACACTAGAACATAGTGACTCCGAAAGTCGATTTGGGTTTTGTCGGTGGTTTATGAATAAATGAGACAAGATCCATATAAATATTATATGAAGCGATGAGGCTAATTTTTCAAATTGTTATTGGAGTAGACATAATCCATTTCTGGTCCATCCCCATAATCCGCAAAGACGATTGAGTAATAATGTTTGGTGTGGTCTATAAAGAGACAAAATTATCGGTTCATTTTTCTGCCAGTTCTTTGAACGGTCTCCGTTACATTAATTTATTAACAAGAGTGTTTCGATGATCTGCATCTGAAGGCCCGTCAGATGATCTATTTTCACCAGGATGGAGCACCAGCTTATAATTTCAGTTGCGTAAAAATAATGTTGCGAAACTTTTTCGGAAACAGGTGGATTGCTACATATGGTCCTGTTAAGTGGCCTCCTCGTTCACCAGACGTGATACCTTCAGATTTTTATTTTTGGGGATTTATGAAAAATGAGGTGTACAAGATAAAACATAATAATGTAGATGAACTGAAAAATTATATTGAAAGTATAATTAATATAATTGATGGCTAAATTGTGTTGAAGGCAACACGTAGTGTCAAGAGAAGACGCGGTGTCTTTAAATATTCACTCGATATTTTATAGATCTTCATTCGCCAAAGCAAATAAATTTTTTTGCACTATATAGTGAAAGAAATAAATATTTCCACATAAGTCGCTCATTTTTAACTTTGAGAAGAAAGGTGATATGAGCTTTGTTGTTGAGTATGCATGATGCATGAATGCATGGTAAAATATAAGGTGTCCCATTTAAAAAAATATCATTTTATGAATCATTTTGGAAACGCGACTGTCAATTTTTTTTGTTTTCGGCATCGACAAGGCCATCGAAAATACTACTAGTTTGCCCATTTAACCGAATTCGTAGCATCAATAATAACGGAGTTGGCAATGGTGCCGACCTAATTTGGAAAACCCTGTATACTCTCAAAGTTAATCTATTTTATCTATATAAATGGTTAACAACACTGCGAAGAAATAAGCGACAGATTTTTCAAGCGCTATTCAGTCATTTTCACGTTTTTACCCAACTCACCCAACCCTTTTTGAAATAAAGCTCGAATTAGAAATTTCTCAGAAAAAAACTCAAATGTTCAGTTTCTCTGGGGCCCTTATCGTATCGGAATAGAATGCAACGAGAAAGCAGCAAACTTTTATGGATGTACCCACCAAATAACCAAAAGTATTTACCAAGACATGAAATCAGCACTGAAAAAAAACCTCACATAACACTGGCAACAAAAATGGGATACATCGAAATCTAAATTTTCCAGAGTCAAACCATCCGTCATACACCTATTATTCCTCAAGATATATGAATGAATGTCAGATCTGATATGAATCTTTCGCTTAAACAAACCCTTCCAATTCATCTCTTTAGAGGCTAAACAAGGAAATTAGTAATTGTTTTCAATTTACAGGAATGAAGTCACAATCATTTCTGCTACAAATAGGCTGAGTTATGAGTAATAATAATTTTCCATATACTCATTTCGAAGTATTCATTTTGTCACTTAAGGAAAAAGGTAAATATTTGACCAATAATGGAACCACACTTATTTTTCTGCATTTGGAGCAATCTTTTCGAAATCATTTTTCCCATTTTTAGTTACATTTGATAAATACACGAGAAGTTAGACCGCCTTGGCTGCAAATTTGAAATTGAAAAAAATGTATACCATACACTTACGACGAATAGCTGTCATTTATTGATTAATTTTTCATTTTTGAAAGGGATTGTATTTCCTGATTATCATAAAGCTTCGGGCTAGTAATTCGGAAAATGCATTGTTCTCGCCTGAATTGCAAAATAAAGGAATGAGCACGGTGTTACTATAGGTGACCCTCAAAATTGATTTGTTAAATTCTGCAGTAGTCTTCAGTATTCAATAGAAAATGTTTTAGAAATGAATTAAACTTGTCAGTAGGTACTCATCATATTAAATGAAGCAAGGTTTAATTGAGAAATTAAATATTCTAGGAAAGGAAATGAAGCTATTGAAATCTCCAAATTATTTGTGAAACAAAGAATTACAATACCATGTTTGGTTATCATCCATCCAGCAATTGAATTCGATCATGTATTATTGATGGGAATTAATATATTTCTTGCACCTCAATGGAACTTTATACCATTGAATACCTATTGGTCATACCTATTGGTCATGAGTTACAAAAACTATATCAGTGAAGTTCAATAAGTTCACTACGAAACATTTTTCAATAAAATTCTGAATAATGTGAGTCAGAAAGTGTTTTCTCAATTTGGCGAGAAAAACATAATGAATTAAAAGAATCACCCTATTTTTCGAAAGGAAAACTTTCTTACAGTTTCTGTGTCAGAATCCAATAGGTAGATACAGTTTTTGTCGTATCTACATATTTTAATCTAACTAAGAACTATGGATGCAGAAAAATATTAAAGTTTGATTCGTGGTGCTAGAAATGTATCTAGTTAATTTTCCATGAAATATTCATGGCTCATCAGATAATATTCGAAAATAATTGATAATAATGAATTTGTTATTGCATTATTGAATATTTTAGGTTCATATTACCTATATTTATTGAACAAATCTATTAAATATACATATTTACATCAATATTTGTTTCGTAGATGATTCATTTATTTTTTTTCAATTACAGTTGTGTATGTGAAAGGAACACAATAATCTGGGTTGTGCTTATTGAATATGAAAATACAAAGTACCTATTTACTGAAAGCTCAATCCTGTTGATTATACTAATTCAAAAATCATTACTTCTTTTCCAGCACTTGAATTTATTGAAAGATTGATGGTTATGAATCAGAGTAGTTGAATAACTCACTATTTATATTAGGTGTAAAATAGTTTTGAATCTATCTATTAAATCTGATGAATCTATGTTTAACGAATGTGATGTATTAGGAAAATTCAAAATTTTGTGGTAACTAGGTGATATATTTTCGTACTTAATTGCCGATTGGAAATTGATTTTTTTGAATTACAATAATGCAATTGATACAAATACAAACTCAACATCAAATTGTGAACAGAAAAATTTTTTGAGATACGGGGCGGAAAGAGAATAGAATAATTGAGTTTTTACTTTATGAATATTTGAAAATAAAAACGAAATAGGTACCTACTCGAAATGTCAACGGTGTTCCTGATATTCAGTCTAATGGTTTCTCCCTCCTCTCAAATCAATGGAAAGATCACTAATTAGGAATCGCAGTAGTTCAGTAGTTCAGATAATGTGACATAAATGCTTCAAGATTGTTGTGATGATATACTTTCTCAAATGGAAAAATATATTTTTTCCGATTCAGAATGATTTTTTTAATTAATCCCAATTTAAGTAGGTATCCACCTAATTGTAAACAGAACAGTAATTTCACTATACCTATTGATAGTTGACATACCTAAAGATTGTTTCCAACAGATACTGAAGAAAATCATCTGATTTGCAGTAAGGAATATTGGAAAAAAACGTAGTACGTACTTAAAATATCAACCATGTTGCTGATACCCAATCAAAAACGGTTCCACCTCCTTCTCAAAATATTCGACATTGTTACATTATGTAGGTACATTCAGTGAATTCACTCGATGTCATTATAAAGCTATAACTGTGAAACTCTGAACAAATCTTCGGCAGATGCGAGTCCATAATTATCGTAATGAGCATGAGGTGGCTGCATAAGTGCCACCGAATTCGTGAACGCCAAATCATAGCAAGACGATGACAGCACCCAAGGATGAACAGGTGGAATGATGTGCGTCGCACTGGGAGCTACAGGCGTAGGTTTATCGGGAGAAATCAAACTTTCTATCGTGAACGACCTTTTGGGCCTTATGCAAGTAACCGCAGTTTCTGGAGTTTTCGTCAAAATCGGGGAAGTAGGCTGAGGAGCCATGACAGAAGAATTTGCCGCCGGATTGATGTCTACTGAAGTATTCGGTGGAGCGAAAAATATTCTGTTGATATTAGTTAATGCCGCTAATTCTATCTCCAGTGATTCTTTGTCACTTTTCAACAGCTTGAATCTTTTTCTTCGCCGAAGAAGGCTCCCGTTCACGAACATATCGAAAGCAGCGGGATGCAAAGCCCAGTACGCACCTTTTCCCGGTCTGTCCGGTTGTCTGGGAATTTTAATGAAGCAATCATTGAAGGAGAGGTTGTGCCTCAGGGAATTCTGCCATCTCTGCGTGTTTTTCCTGTAGTACGGGAATCTATCCGTTATGAACTTGTAGATTTCCGATAAAGGCAGCATTTTCTCCGGAGAATTCCATATGGCCATCGCGGTCAGAGATATGTAGGAATAGGGTGGTTTCTGATCGCCATAGGATTCCCTTGAAGGCCTTGGCATGCTGGATTTACTAACACTGAACACACACAAGAACACCTTAAACAAACTCTGCTGAAATCTACTAAACAACTGTTTGAACTGATCCTTCAAAACGTTTAGTGGGTTTAAAAGGATACTCAACGCCCATCGTTCTTTCTATTGGTCGTGTCAGAACAATGGCAATTCGAGTCCCTCCTCCTTGTTAACGCCTGTCCTTTTCAGAGGCTTAACGCGAAGCCAATTGGTTTAGCGAGTTGTTTTACATCGCTGCTAGGGTGCAGCCAATCATATAATGCTTCGTATTTAATAATAAATTGCTTTATTTGAGTAAGATTCATTTAATATGGCTGATGTAGTTAGATTAAATTTATGTTATCATTTCGAGAACAGTTCGTTCGGTAAACACCGTTAGTTGAAGTCATTATTGCTGCTTTATTGAATACATTTTATGGTTGGTAACCGTTTATAAGCTCATTTACCAAAATGTAAATTGAGCTTTTGTTATTGGAGTATGTGAGCTTTATTATATGTCTGGAGGCTGCAACTGAGTATCATGCTTCATTATCCTTTTGCATTATTTTTTTTTATTAAAAAAGGTCGTACAATAAATTCAAAGAGGTCATTATACGAATGGAATCAAAATTAAAAATTAAATTAGTTACACTAACGAGAATAAAAAATGTCATCTTTCATATAAAACTTGTGTCAAAATATATTTTTCATTGAAAATTATATTTAACACTCTAATTCACATATTATTGAGACTTTACCCACTTGCATTTGGAATTTTTCATTCGTCAATTGGTATTTCTTTCGTTGGAATTTTAAAAATGAGAGATGATTTTCAGATGTAGGTGATTATGAAGAATTAGCTAGACATAAAACTTAGCACCTCCACCCAAATACGTCTTTTCCATCTCATCGGCTTAGTTTACTGCACTAACGATTAAATATCAAATATTCTTAGGCAAGTCGATAAAAGTAAGTTATCATAAACTGATTGATAAACAACTTATATTTGTCACTTAATTTGATATCAAAGACTATGACAATATAAGTAGGAATATCGAAATCGTTAAATAAAATTACACGTACCTACCTATATGTACTTAGTCAAATGAGCATAATTTGAGTGTGAAAAAAATTAATGAAATATGTTCACATGTGAATTTAATGAACTGAATAGGACTGAAATTGAAATTTCACAGGAGTCGTTGACTAAAATATTTAGAAAATAGATGATAGCTTAAATGGGATGTTTTCGTGTGATAACAAAAAAAACAGAATTAGTCACTATCAAATATTATTTTGATTGAAAGGTGGTATATTGTAAGGAGATACTAATTTTTGGCAAAGGAAACTTTTGGCTATCTACTTATCGATCTCTAAATAAAAAAATGTGGGAATTTCCACAGAAAGGAAGAAAACAATCAATTGCAAAACTAACTCTAACACAAATATGTATAGAATATTAATTTCAGACACAAACTTGAAGAAAAAGGCCCATGAAAAAGTAACTTATAATTAATAATAATAATAATAATAATACGTCTTTATTCACCATAAAAATACAAATGGAATAGACAAAAATAAAATAAAACAGTATACGGGAACAATAACAAAAACAATGAAAAAATCTTCCAGTATATGAATAGGCGGAGTATCAGCCAAGGCTGTTTTTCAACTCAACCTGGGCTTCAATTCATTTTTATATTAAACTATATAGCGACCAGACACGGCTTCGCACAAGTGGGAGAACATGAAAAATGAGAATTGAAACTTCTAATGTGTTTATACCACTTGTATTTGTAACTAACGTTACTGCAGATTCGTCTTGCAAGGCAATGAATCATTGTTAAGGTGTTTGACAATGTTTTATGATACATTTCATTAATTTGGACTTTCATTGTCTAATATGATATAGAATGATTTGAAATACAAGCAATAAGTAATTGAAAATTGAACAATTAATAAGAAATGAAAATTGAAATTGAAAAGATTTCAAGTCCCAGTTAATTCACGACTATTCGATTGTTAGTATCAACAATCGTCTTTGGGAGATCACTTACATTTTTTCCTGTCAAAATGTCACATTATCAGTTTGTCCATAAGTGAGTTTCCCATTTTTTTGTAAGGTATAAATACTCATTTATATGGGTATCTATTGAGAGCAAGATCCGTCGACCCCTTATGATTTTTAGTTGTATCCTTTTATTCCAACTACCATAAAATTTTATATCAACTCTTTGAGCGAAGCAGGTGATGTCAGCTAGTATAAAACTATTAATAATAAATTTGCACATTCAATCAAGAGACTACAACTATCATCAATTTCAATTTTGGAATAGTTACGTATCTATCTACCTGAAGATAACACAAAACGATCTTCACGCATCGAATTGTCATCAGACCACTTAAATTTATTTTCTCGTACAATTATTTGAATTTTGCAATGAATCTAATAATATTAATTTGAATTTTATGGCGTAAATTGCAATTATAATGCAATTAACTGCTCAAGGTAACTAGGGTATTCATATGAGGAAGATTGATATCGTATCCCTCTAAATAGCTTTACAATTTCCACATTATATCTGACCATCATCACAAACAGTTATAGAATAAACTAGAAAACTTAAAGAAAAACAAATATTTTTTGTAGACCTATAAAAGAAGAATAATATAAAGCAAATTGTTTTGTTGTATATTTCAAAGGTATTTGGCAGCATTTTCGATCAAAGCTCGAAGAGTATAAGGAGGTACCTAGTAAGTAAGTACAAATTCAAACAAACCATTATTGAATAATACATATAAATCTTTCTATTGAATCAATCCATTTTGATGGAAATCTTACGAAAATCCGTTCTGTAGTTCTTGAGTTTATCGCGTTAAAACGAACAGACAGGAAATTTTATCCTATCATTTATTGATGTATGTTTGAAAGTGTTAGACGCAATATACAATGCGTTTTTAAATTTCCCCACCCCTTTTATTTTTTGAACGGGTCAACTCAAAAAATTGAAATTTGGAATAATGAAATGAATGAATGAATACTTTACTTTGAAGTGAAATTGACAAATGAAACTTTCAAGATGGCGACTGGGCGACATCTGGGAAAAAAATGTAATGGAAAGGGAGGTCTTGTGACACATCTTTTTGGAGTTCCTGACAAATGCTTCACAACCCTAGAATATAATGTCAATATCTTCAACTAGTACAAAATGACGGACCTTTTAATAATTGCCTAAATACATTGATATTCAACTACATAATATGAGATAATAAGCTTGAGGTTAGTTCAGAAGATGCTCGAAATGGTTGCCTTGAACTTCTTGACATATGAACAGCCTATTGAAGCAGTTTCAGTTTTATACACCTTTTGCTTCAAATAGCCCTATAAAAACGTCCAAAGGTGTCAATTCTGGCGAGAGGGCTAGCATTCTGTAGGACCTCGACGGCCAGTCCAACGACCAAAGTAGTGAACAAATAGTTTATTACTTGTCTGGAGTAATGTGGTGGTGTTCTATCTTGTTGGAATACAATATCCTCTATGAGAGGGTCAACAGTAGTTTCCAGCATATGCAAATACAGTTCCCCTGTTGAATTTTGATCAGGAAATAGAGGTCCTACAATATGGTTTCCCAATATTCCTGCCCAAACGTTAATTTTTTCTGGATATTCGGTATGTGTTACTCGGAAACACACTTACCAGTGGTAAGATGCAAAGCCAAGCATCAACATCGACCGCCGACAATATTCGTCCTCTATCTTTCACTGTAGCTTTCACTGCAAGATAACTACAGTAGAATCCATTTATTATGAATCCGACTAGGTTAACCAACCACCTATTATGAAGTAATTACACAACACAATTTGTTTTCATATAAACATTTTTGTAAAAAAAGTGGGATATAATGACTTCGCTTGTGACATGTCGCTTACAGTGAAATATCGCTTATTATGACCCATTTTTAATGAATCATGTCCGTTTATAATGACCGACATGATTATCGTTGATTCCTGACGACGTTTGGCACGTTACTTGTTTTTTGTTTTAAATCTCAGTGAGTAACTTCGTTGATTCCCGACGACGTTCGACATGTTTTTGTTTCGAATCTCAGTGAGTAACTGACATTTTTTGAAGCTTACGCATTGTTTTTAGTGATATCCTGTGGAAAAAATGTCATCTCAACGCCGTAAAGCATTTACGATTGAGGAGAAAGGTGCAATATGCAGATCAGAAAATGAAGAATCGAACTCATCTCTCGCAAAATTTGGCGTGGGTCATTTGACAATCTCAATGATTCTCAAAAACAAGAACCTGATTAAGTAATCGTTCAATTCAAATGATTTGAAACCAAAGAGGCTTGAAAAATCGCGAGAAGAAAATGTTGATCAAGCATTATTCAGTCGTTTAAAATCACGATAAACAAAGGGATACCTGTCAGCGGCCCTATGCTACAGGAAAAGACAAATGTTTTTGCAGAGGGTTTTGGTATTCTCGACTTCAATTTTTCTGCAAGCTTGATCAGTCGTTTTAAACTTTGATATAACATTGTGGCGAGAAAAATTTACGGTTAATCTTTGTCTGTTCAAAAATTACACGACGAGCGGTTCTTGAGGTCGAATCTGTGTGGCCACACATCTGTGTGGCCGAATCTACGAAAACAATTTTCTGATGATGAGATATTTGATGCTAATGAAACTGGACTGTTTTACAAATTGATGCTGGACAAAACTTTAAAATTTGAAGATGAGAATTGTTGTGAAGGCAAGATAGAATAACTGTTAGTGTAGCAGCAAATATGGGTGGCACAGAGAAAAAGAAATTGCTCACAAAAACCAAGATATTTCAGTAGTGTCAAATTTTTTCCCGTCAATTATGTTAACAATCGTAGAGCTTGGATGACATTGGAAGTTTTTGAAAAAAGGCTTCGAGATTGGCTTGCTTTCCTTCCACCGAATAAAATATCAGTACTACAGCCAATGGATCAGGGAATAATACATTCACTCAAAATGAATTTCAGAAAGAAGCTTCTGCTCAGAATGATTATGATAATTATGATG